TTTTGATTTCTTTCCATAGGCTGTTATTCAATCATTCTGATCTTATAGCGGTTTTTTCCTACCCTACACTATTTATTGCGTATAACTTGCTGGTAAGTGGTTTGCATTTAACAATCAGTTGGAACAACCAGATGTGAAATTACATTATGCATTCCATATCGTATCTGTTAGAATGTTTCACTACTCTTTACATTGAATACCCTTAAACATTTTTTTTCCTGAAGCGTTACGTCTCAGTTAGTTTACTAACACATCTAGAAGTATCAGATTTCAAGGGCTTTCAACATTGAATAAAATGGCTATTTAATATAGAAGGGCTAGAAGGTATCCTCTTTTCCAGATGCAGCTTTAACTAATAATATTATAAAAGCATATGTTTATAAAAAACTGCAATTTATGGAAATAAAATACCGATTAATTTAGTTCCAGGAGGAAATAAAGTTTTATCCTCCCACTCTCAAAACTAAACAGTAAATCGGATGAACCAAAATTTATCATCTAAACATAAAACAAAAAGAATTTGAGTAAAGATGTCTAAACTTTACTGTAACTAATGTTATCGAGTTTTTCGTCACCAGGTGGCTAATCAGCCGATCCACAGTAGCATGGTATCAACCCAGGAGAAAATGAATTGCATGATCCAATGTGTCAAGTTTGAAACTTTAGCACATATTCTGTAGTTACAACTACTACTGTGCACTCAAGATAATTGGAAATGGTGAAGTATTTGTGGTTACGGTAACTGATACCATTGTTCACAATGGTACACGGTGTTGGTACCGTATCACAACAAAGGATAAGTGGAAATGGTGAAGTATTTGTGGTTACGGTAACTGATACCATTGTTCACAATGGTACACGGTGTTGGTACCGTATCACAACAAAGGATAAGTGTAATTGAAGGTTTCCTCCCCCCAATAACAATGCCGTTTGTCTTCCTTCCGCTGCAACTTTAATGGGTATTGTGAGGCATCATGCTAGTTGCACCAATATTCAGTGACGTTTGTCTTCCTTCCGCTGCAACTTTAATGGGTATTGTGAGGCATCGTGCTAGTTGCACCAATATTCAGTGACGTTTGTCTTCCTTCCGCTGCAACTTTAATGGGTATTGTGAGGCATCGTGCTAGTTGCACCAATATTCAGTGACGTTTGTCTTCCTTCCGCTGCAACTTTAATGGGTATTGTGAGGCATCATGCTAGTTGCAGCAATATTCAGTGACGTTTGTTAATTTTTATCGTTGTTGTATAATTATCTTCGTTTTCCATGTTCACATGAACAGAAGGTTACTGCTGTAATTGCCATTACTTTGAAAGTGCACTTCTGACATTCAGAGACAACCTGTTACATGACATTTCTAAAGGCAGAATAAATTATGCATGTTTTGAGATGATTTTTATACTGTTCCCAGTACTCAAATTACATGATCAGTGCTCCCTGGTGATAATTATTTTTGGCACTGGATTCGCCTTTCCCATCATCTTATTACTTCGTCTGCTAAGTACTGTACTTTTATTACGATTACCTTTCAAGTTATGGGCGTTAGAATAAGCCAACTAACTTTATAATAACCCTATCTGTACATATATATGTATATATATATAATCATGATTTTTGATAAAGTACGTTCTCTGAATAGCTTTACAGGAGAACCTTTATGCAAGACAATATCACAAAATCAGCGGTAAAGCTTTAAACTTGGCTTCATATTTCATACGAAGTCGTAGTTGTCACATATAATGTTCTCTGTAAAGCTCTAAAACAGCACTCGGTAAAATATGGTTCTTTATCTAATCATCACCATTTGACAAATGTATCACTTGACAACCGTTGCCATATGAACGAGCGACATAGTATAAACACTACACTTGTTTTGAGCTTTGTCTGTAGCGTGTGTACATTTAAAGCCAACAAAATCAGTTTTAGTTTCCTGTAAAATCAATTCAAACAATAACAAAAGAATATATAAACAAGAGGATATAATTTAGCTTCAATATCATTAATATCTTTGGTGGATCGTACCTGAAACAGGTCCACCGCATTTCGTATCCAGATTCTCATCTCAGACTGTGAGAAGAGGAGACAGAGCTACGATCAGATGTAACAGTATTGGAGAAAGTCCTATTTACCTACAATGGCTTGTCAATGGTAATGAATTTAACCCTTCAGACCGACGAAGGTAGGAAAAGTTTTGTATTTCAAATATTCCAAAATAACCTACTGCATTTATTTCTTAACTTTTATCACAACCTGAAGGCTTGATGTCAGTCACGTAAAGCATGAGTTTTTGTATGATTAAACAAACTCTTTAATGTGACCTACTGTATATATGTTTCAACCTTATAAAATATAGTTATTAAACAGAATCTCTCAAGCATTCTTTTTTCTTATTATTGAATAAAACTATTGATACGATCTAGCTAAAACGTCACAATATTATTCTGGTATTACACAATTCCACAGAAAAAGCACTCAATTGTGCTTTAACTAAGGCATCTAAATACATAGAACGAAACGAGAATGTATTTTACTTAAATGGAGATAACCTAGCTCTTCTATTTCCAAATGTCAAATTATGCAAAACAACCTTACCTACCCTTACTTTAACAATGCATTGTAAATTTATATTGTATCTATACTAGCAACACGATTCAAAATGGCGTATAGGTTGTAAACAGCCCTTACAAGGAATATTTTTAAAGCTGCACTAACCCCAATTCAAAATGACGCACACGCTATAAACAACCCTCGGAAGAAAGTTTTTAAAATTGCACAATTCAACTTTACTCAAAATTTTAATCAAACTTACTAAAAACAAATAATCTCAAAAAAATTGATTTTCTAAACCTCACCTTGAACCCTTTACCAGCATTAATGAACGCAATTATTGCTATAACTATACAAGACACTTAATGATGTATAAACAAAGAACGAAGACGTTCCGTGTCCACAGTAAAGCATTTACGTTTTTGTTGTTGCTAAGTAATTGGCAGCCAAGGCAGACAAACTATTTTTGGGGTCAGGCTGAGATCTCGATATTAGACCTCCGTTACCTGGGCGTTTCTTAGGCGTTTCCACGCGACTTATCTGCGTCTAGACCAATGTAGTCAATAAGTTTTCATCTGGATCATGGGCAAGAAATTAGAGGAATAGCAAGACAGTCAGACTCCATCTATTTAAAAAAACATTTGGTCCCAAAACCCGTCAGTTATCTGGGTTAGATTTTAGTACAGACCAGATTTCCAATGTTTACAACATTTACAGTTGAAGGCAAGAAATAAAAAAAACGCGATAATGTGTAGGTAAGGACTATTAACTAGATACAAATATAAGATACAAAATCCTGCCACTTATATCAATGTACATCAGATTTAGCTTGGAACTGATATATGTGTGCTTATTGTATTTCGTTCTGAACAAAATAGTTTCCACCATTAATTAAACTAATAACGCGTAGAAGAAAAAAGTAAGTTGTAAATGTTTATTTCAGTTATTACTTTCTTTCCCAAAACATTAAAAATTGCCATTTTAGGGAGTATTTCTACGTGTTCCGGCTACAAACAAATTAGCATGGATAAATCTGAAGATTATTTTCCCGCTTGAAATACATAATACACATACGTGATGTACATTATTAATTTCATACGGTTTGTTTGTAATTAAGCACAAAGCTACACAATGGGCTATCTGTGCTCTGCCCACCACGGGTATCGAAACCCGGATTCTAGCGTTGTAAGTCCGCAGACATACCGCTGTGCCACTGGGGGGGCAATTCATACGGTGTGGTGACTCTGTATTATGATCAAATTTCGTTTTCCGTAAACGGGTATAGCTCAGAACAACTACAATATTTTGACAGTCAGAAAACGGATTCAAATTGCCTCTATGTCAAGTATCAGTATTCATTTATATAAAAAAAAATACTGAACAATAGGCAGTGCCCCACCTAAGCCTTTTTTTTTATTACTAATATTAATATATACGCAGAACAAATTCGAAATTTGAATATTTTTATTTTTTGTTCCTCATAACCCTCTAGCCCCCC